TCCCTTTCTTTTTTTAAGGATTGGATTCACTCACGTGAGGCGGAGACAAAAAATTCTCAGTCACCTGCTTTCTTTGACTTTGATAACGGTAACGTTACGAAAAATGTGTCAAGTACCTCTCAGCCAAAAAAGGATGAGGTGTCTAATGAGTCTACCGTGATTGTTCCGCTGGATCCCGAAAAAGCAAGTAAACCGTGCCCAATTTGTCAAGAAAAGTTTCAATTTTTCTGGAACGATGCAGATGAAGAATGGCTTTTCAGAAACGCTGTGGAGGTTGATGGAGTCATTTATCACGCGACCTGTCATGCAGATGCTCTCAAGGTTGGTTTTTTCATCACTCTAGAGGTGACTACGGATTTTCCTGAAGCAAGTAATTCCTGATTAATTTATTGTACATGTATCATAAGAATCAAGAAAGCGCTCAAGAAGGGGGTGAAGGTGAACCGAACTCTGTTCTTGGAAAGCGGAAGACAGAATTGGTAATCATTTTTTTCATTCACATTTAACTGTCCTCTTGATTTACATTAATGATCATTTTTAACTTGTTATTCTTAGTCCCCAGCCGGTGACCGAATTGATGTGTCGAAACGCCCAGCTCTTGTCTCGTGAGTCAAAATCGTTTCTATATGATAACTATAATCTAAGAAAGTAGTTGAAATGTGTGAACAACCTCTTCGCTGACAAACCAACTGCGGCTCTGTGTCTTCTTGGCTTTCTCTTTCATTCGACGGTTCTGACGAAAATGCCAATCTAAGTGAGAATCCATTTTCGCTTTACCATCATCATTTCTGGCATACCGAAATCCACATTGTTTACATTGTAGAGGAAACGCATCATAGAGAATTGCAATAGCTCCATCCCGTTTTCTAAAAGAAAATTGAATACATGATCAATAAGTAAAATAGCTGTACGTCATTGTGTTCAAGGTTATTCGATGGATTTCTTACCTCTGGATATCATTGCTCGTTAGCAGAATTTTCTCTATATCATTTACGTGCAATATAGTAGTTGGAATATCGCCAGCTACAGAACCTGATTGGGGTGGTGTGGGTGTATTCCCACCAAAATTGAATCCACCCATGTTAGCATTTCCAATGGTTCCCGCTAAATTACTGATGATGTTATTGTTTCCGAGTAACCCAAATTCCATTAAGTTCTTAACTAGAGTATTTGGATCTGACACAAGAGAATTATGGGATTGAATGGATGGCGTGGTAACAGGAACAGGTGCAACAGATACCGGTGGTGCGTGAATTGGTACTGAAGTTGTGACTGCAGCATTAAGTAAAGTGGATAATGCATTCACATCGGGCGTACCACTGATAGGCATCGGTCCGGTAAGGCTTTGAGTCAAATTAGAAAAATGATGATGATGGTTGGAGTAAACTCGTGGATGCCTGAGATGTGGATGTTGAAGGGATGGACAATTGGGTAGCGAAAAATTGACGAACTTGTTGAATTTGGTCATTTGTCAAAGGCGCTTTTTGAATGGCTTCAGACAACTAAGAGATCAAGTTTTAAAAATGGACGAATAAAAGTCTCGTTAACATTGCATTTACGAGAATAATGACCAAAACATCGTCTTCGAACCTGCTGCAAATTCCCAAGTTGACTTTGATTATGTAAATCGCCAGGATTTTGCAGCGCGTATTGTTGGCGTTGCAAAATCAATTGCTGACATTCTTGTAGAAGTCTTTGTTGGTCCGGGGGCGGGACAAATACTTGATTTTGTTGTTGTTGCAACAGCGGAGGAGCAGGCGCCTTATAAATAAAGGATATTAATAAAAAATCCATTAGTATTGGAAATACATAGATCCATTCATTGCTCATGTCTCGTGGAATCGAGCATCATTGCATCGCGACAATGTTGAAAGGGGATGGGGAAACAAAATGAGAAAGCAAGAATATTTCAGTGTTTGATTTTTATTATTCAAAGTTACATTTTCATTTGTCTGTTCATGTTATCTTTTTTTTTTCTTTTCGTTTTTTTTTGTTATTCTTAACATAACTTCGATAATTTTTGATATTTTCTTTTTTTTTTTTTCTTTTCTTTTTTTTTTTTGTTATTTTTTAATTTTTCCTTTTTCTTTCTTTTCTTTTTTCCTTTTCCATTTATTCATTCTTTTTCAGTGAATTTTCTTTTCTTTTCTTTTTTTTTTTTTTTGATCTCTTTGACCTTATTTCACTTGGATGTTTTTCTCTTCCATATATTTAAATCAATGTAATAATATCAGCGCCTTTGAATACATTATACATCGGGGACATCCTTCGTTGATTTAAAAAAAGGTTGTTTATAAATGATATATTTTTTGTTAACATTATCATTTCCCACCAAAACAGTAGCCCATGTCCAATTATATTGAGATTCGGTTTCTGTTAAGATAAACTTCGCGATAAACAAACACAAACATTTAAAGAAAAATAGAATAGCTAGGATAAAGTTCAAATTATATTTATGATATCGCAATATCGAAAAGAAATTTTTGTTCTTTAAAGAAATTAACACGAAAAATGATAACGAAGCATACGTAGAAGGAAATCGCGAAAATGAAAACAGCAAAACGAAAGGCACAAAGCAAACATAACAAAATCGATGAACATATGATGATGGTTGACTAACCTGTTGAGTGTTATAATATCCTGGGCGATTAGAATTCGCAGAAAATGTCGACATCCCACTATTATTGTATCTCGGGTTATCGACCCATTGATTCGTCGATTGTTGAACAGGTTGGACTTGAGAAACCTGTTGAATTGGTTGGCTTTGTTGTTGATAATTCACCAAGTTATTTTGACCCTACAATCGAAAGAGAAAAATATTAGAAAAGGTGGGAGAAATTTGTACAATCGTTATCAACTTCGATTCACTTACAATGGCACCACTCAAAAAATTTGGATTTATATGAATGTGCGATCTACCACCATCTACCGACCCTCGCGATTGATATCTCGGCTGTTGCTTCGCTAAAGCCCTATCGATCTGTCCCGTGACTTCGACAGAATATACTGGCGCACCGGTCGGTCCACTTTTCCAAGTTGCTAGTACTCGCTCGAGTTTATTTTTTGTTGGTTGATCTACAACATTATAAGCGTCCATAAAAGTATGGAAAAGATTTCGAGCGAATAATTGGATATATGTCCCGCCAATGTTTTTACTGATTGAATCAAGGAGATATAATACTGGCAGCTTTTGTGAGGGCGGAAACTACATATTGGACACGTTTCAAAAACATCACCAGTTAGTATCTAGTTTACAAGATTTGTCATAGTTTGGCAAATATTCTTTATTACAAAACATTACTACTGTGCCAAAAAATTTTTTTTTGAAATGTCTCTTGCAATAAAGCAAGAGAAAGCTCAACTAAATTTTATGAGTTAGTCTGCCTCCCAAGTCCCTTGCGAGAAAAACTACTTACAGCACGAATTTGGTCTTCAATGGCTTGGACAATTGCCCTTGCGGCGGCTATATTTTCCTCAGCAATGATAGTCAAGTTGTTTATTATTGGTTTAGAATTAAAAGTCAACTCTTGTAAATTCGCTCGGTATTCTTGCCTAACACTCTCTAGATCAATTTCAAGACTCTCCATGTTAAGTACGTTTTTTCCTTTTCGTTTTCCTTTTTGAAGCTTGAAAGTAATTTTTTTTTTTCAATTATTATATTATGATGCAATCACTATAATACCCTAGAATCTTCTATGTGCACGTGTTTGTATTTCTGTGGCGCGTGTAGTTACGCAAATGTATGTTTATAAACACGACCTGGTCTACTTTTTTTTAATGCAAAAAATTTCAAAAATAAAAAATAGAATTTCAATACTGTAATAAGTATAAAATTTTTTAACTAAAAAGTTGCTTTTCATTTATTTTTTTAATATTTTTCTAAAAATTTATAAAATATTATTTTTAATTATATATTATTTATTAATAGAGTTTAATTATAAGCAAAAGTTTAAATTTTTAATAAAAGTTGATCTTAAACAAACTTAAAAATTTTTTAAATTAAAGTTCATATAATTATAATTAATTTTGTATAATTATTTGCAAAAAATAATTTTAATTATTACAATTTTAATGATTTGATTATAAAAATTTTAACTTGTATTAGAAATAAAATAATTTTTTTACTTTAAATATTTTTTTTTTTTTTTT